CACACTGTCATATTTTACACAATTTATTATACAGATCAAAATAATTATCTACTTACTTAAATGTATGAGTCACATTCTGCCCGCCACTGACGGTAACACATTTGTCATTACGGAGCATGATTAAGAAAAACAACAGCTGCAAAATCCAAGACATGCACAACACAGCCTGCACACCAGATTCTTTCAACCTGGGGTTCACATTGTCACTGCAGTGCAACATGACTTCCAATTATTACTGTTAAGTCTATATATTATTCCCATTATGTATTCATTCTGCTTGGTGGTCCAAATGTAGAAAATGCTCTTCATTTTAAATAATCTGAGTAACTAAATATGACATTATGTACAACACTATGGTACTGACTGTATAAACAGGTCAGTGTGACTGTAGAACAAAAAGAGCACGTGGAGTCAGGCCTGCTATCAACCTCGCCAGCCTCTGTCTGACACAGAAAGCTAGAGAACTGCCTTAAAAGGGGTGCTCTAACAAAACATGATGGGCTCTGATGTTTTCATCCATTTTCTGGCTCCCTGAAGAAACCCACTCTCACAGACCCAGGTGATATTGACGTTTGTGCTTGACATTTCTCCTATCACTGGCATAGATGAGAGCGTGAAAGGCCGATGGGACGCGTTTATAAAACTCCACCGAGGTCTGGAGTGCCTGGCTGGAAGGCCAAGCGAAGGTTGTGGGGAAATTAAGCTGAGCCCAGTTCTGCCACGCTCTGCTGGCGCTGTGATCTGCCAGCCAGTCAAACAAGCCTCATCTACCTACGCTGTGGTAGACTGTATCTTGGAGGTGTATCTGTGTATCAGCCCTCTCACGCACTGCAGTGCCCCATCTCAAGTTCAATCTGATCGTTACACAAATGCACTCCGAAGCATGCAAAAGACAAAAGGAAGGAAGCTATCATGGCAGCCTGTATTGAGGCATCGCTTCCTTTGTTTCATCGAATGTGACGCACTTGTTGATACTAAAAACAATGTCCGATCACCACAACTCCAGAAATGCAACACGCCATGCTTCAACATCTGTGCTACCTCCATTACCTGTAGGAGTGGTGACAAACCAAATCATTCCTTCTAGAGCTCATAGTTAGTCATAGGAGTGATGAGCAAACAGTGCTCATCAATGGACCCTTTGTGGCACTATTGGCAACCAAAACCTAACCAGTTCTTCCTCGACCTGAGGCCTCACTTGCCACTACATTCCACGGAAATCTGTTGACTAATGTGGGAGACATTCTGCTAAATAACAAACACACCTCCAGACAGGATAAAAAAACAGAACTTTCTTGGCGGAGATAACAATGGTTTTCCACCTCCAGCATAATCAACTGAAATGCTGAGCAAGGCCTTATAAAAAAAAGTGCATGGAAAAGATGTAGGGAAATAAGCACAGCGGAAATGTTGCTGTCTGGGCTTCTGATCCAACTGCAGGTTTCTATAGATAGATAAGCTGCCTCACAGGACCACTGAGTCAAAGGGCCCCCGAGCCGCGAAGGGAGCCGCAGTTCGATTGGAGCCGCAGTTTCCCAGGTGCACAGGCGGATACCGGTGATGACTGGGCACACTTCACAAGGATCGCCGCCGCAGCCTGTCGGCGCCGCGCCACTGCTTTTGTTGACACATTTCCGAGCGGCGCCCATCATCACTTTCGCCTGTCCTTGAGAGAAGTTAGGTTAGTGCTGAGTAGAGCGACGAGCTGGGAGACGAGGGCTTTAATTAGCTCCGAGGCAGGACGATAGTTGATCATCTCCCTCGACTCGCTCTACCATGAAGGGCTTGGCGTCATTAAAAACAAAACTCATCGCAATGCCTTGAAAACTCCAAACTACAAGTAACAATCAGCGTCCAAGTCAAGCTCCAGACGGAGACAGAATAAAATGACACCTCTCAGATGATGACTGGCTTAAAAAACACCTATGAAAATGTAGCGGATAGCATATATCTTGCAGAACAGATATACAGTATTGCATGTTAAACATTGGTTATCTTGGCTGTTTCCCTGTGGAAGCCTGGTGAAATAGAAATGGACTGGGGGAAATTCACTTAACGCTGCTATTGGCGTTTCAGGCATTAGGTAAGCAGTGATATAATTAGCATTCATGAGTCAAGTAATTAAAACGTCAATGTGACCAAGCAGTGCTGTTAAGACACTTGTGTGCTCTTTGCTCAGTCTCCAGCAGTCAGCATTTAGTCTGCGCAGTTCAAAAAAAGACTCCGTTTACTATCGCACTGATGGCAAGTGTCTCTTAGTCTGTGAAGAAGATTGCCCGAGAAATGTAGCTATAAAACAGTTTCAACATGAAGCTTCCCCAAACAAGAACCTTCAACCTTTCAACAGCAGCCAAAAGGGAAAAGTAAACCGCAAACAGTGTGTCCTCCCACAGAGAGCGTTGAAACAAGTGTCTGCATAATGGGACAATCCTACATTAACAGCACTTTTAAAAGCACCTGGAGAGTACTCCTAACAAGGATTTACAAACAATTATCAAGGCCAGCCACAGTCGGAAAGGAAATCCTTAGCTTACAGACGAAACCGTAATCCTCCCAGAAGTTTAAACAGAAAACCTCACAGCGCTCTTAGAAGCAACAGTGTAGTTACAGAGGAGCACGGTGGCTTATTTGAAGGGCTCTTTCTGCAAGTTATTCTTGCTTTATTTAATACATTATATACACTGCACGTGTGTACAAGCTCTCATTTTTGGACAGTTGAGAAAAACGTTACAACACTGAAACAAAACCAATGTAACAAAGACTGCAAAGCGACATGTTTTTGGGAAGGCATTGCTGCTGCACACTCCCCTTTACTACGGGCAGCGTCAGGTGACTGACAGGTGAGCCATGCAGTGCACGTCCTCAGCTCAGCACAAAGGAAGAAGTGCAGAACGTTTACAAAACCAAATTAAGACTTAGCGATTACTATGATGGATTATACTGCACCGACAATTTCCAACTCCGTGGAAGCTTTTTCAATACTCCGCATGATAGATGGCAACACACTGTAAAGGTGGCACAGCAGTCCCAGATATCTCCAGTCTGCTGAAAGCACACAAACACCAACCATGGATAGTGTGAAGAAGAGGGACCAACTGGACGACTAGTACAAAAAAAACCCCACGTTATCTGTTCTCCATCGCGCTCCCCTCTCCTCTACTACACTATTTTCATTGAACCTTCAGCACCTGACAAGAAACCTCTACCCTCGACGTACTGCTTAAGCCCACCAGCTGTCACTACTGATTTAGCTCATCCGTAACATCATTCATATCGGTAGGTGTGAGGTATTTAAACCGTACGCCACCATCATCCGCCTGTCTGTTAAAGCCATATGTGCACATGAGGGGGGAAGAGGAGGGGCAGAGGCAACTGTATTCCTGACTGGGAGAGATCCAGATAAACTCCAATTAACATAAGACAACAATATTCTGTTTAATCAGCTTGAACAGCTGCAGTGGCTGGGGGACAACTGTAAACTCTGGCTTCCTGCGTATTTTATTGATAACACATAGCGGTGTGAATATTAAACACCAAGTTCACAGGGGTTGCTGGAAACACTGTCTGACTGTATGGGGAAACAAACACTGGCAGGGGAGGTAGTTTTATGAGCTTAACAAGGTTCCCAGTCTTTGTGTTGAGCGCATATGGGAACTACAGATGACAGATGTGTTTTGTGTGATCGAAACTGGGGCGAAAAAACAGCCTCTCTTCGCGCAACGCTCCCGTGACAGGCTGCTGCACACACTGTGGAACAGAACTAAAAGCGTCGAACCAAAAGCAACTGCGAAGTCGCCACACGTCACAGGGACAGGTGCGAAAGCGAACACGAGAGGGGGAAGTGACGTGGAGGTGAAGTCAAGACGGCCGCCGACATTTCAAGACACAGCTGGGATTGAGACGCGAGGAAACCGCGGTGCACAGTGTGTATCTTCACAGGGCCGTGCTTCCTCCTCTGAACATGAGCTGTGCAGACACTGAAACATTCCTCAGTGGACTCATCAGATGGTGTGTCCTTAACCTCACTGACACGGAACATCTCAGGTTTCTCCAAATGAACCCGCTGTGTATGAATTCCTGAGGAGCCTGACGTGACGGCGAGTTCCAAGGCAAAGCCTGCATGCATTCTACCTGTTTGACTGTCTCCACGCTCGCTTTGTGCGCAACCAGATCCATGCATTAGCCACAACCTCAAAAGGTGAAGAAAAGAAAAAAGAAAAAGAAAAAAGGGAGAGGCTTGGTGTGTTATCTTCAGAGAAATGTGCCAATAGAAGCTCAAATTAGAGTCATATATCCATAAGCCCATCACAAGTAACCCCTCCGCAAGGCAGCAGGCATCACTGCGAAAAGAACATTCACTAAATTGATCTGTCTAGCTTAAAAAGATTAGATTAAAGTCCAATTAGAGGCACTGTGAATAAGTTTAGATCACACTGGTGCTTGAGAATAAGCTGGAGATGGAGATGGGCACAGCACACACACACACACACATTTCCCCCAGCAGAGCAGAGTTTGCCAGCACTTTACAGCAAGTGAACTGTCAAAAAGAAAGCAAAAGATCATATATTTTAAGTGTGAGTGTATATCTGCTGCGATATTGAGCTGTGTGTCAGAGTGCTCCCTCCACAGCACTCCCTGTAGTGCAGGTTAGTTATTAGACAGAGGCGGATGTCGCAACTCACGCCGTTGTGTGGTTGTGATAACAAGTTCTGCCGGTTATAACGATTCATTCAGTACAGGAGTAGGTCAAATGCTTCATTCATCAACAGCGTGTCTGATTTGAGATTTTTCAAAAAAGACAGGCACCAGTTTTATGGGAACGAAGAGTAAATGTGTGATTTGATTCAAAGCAAAACTTGGCTCAAAGATAAATGTGGGGTAACCTTCATTGAGGAGAACTGCCGCTTTTTATTTGATTTTTTTAATGCTAATTAAGAAGCAATAGAGTCGTTTCCCTCTACTCTACCACAGACTAATGCTTGCACTTAAACTTCACCCACCTTCTCCTTGTTGTCGTGGTCCGAGGGAGGTGAGGTCGGAGATTTAACACTCCCTACAGCAACAGCTTGGGTGACTGTGACACCGCCGCCTGGAGCTGGGCTGCTCTTTTCGATTGTTTCCACCTTGATAAGTCGGTGTTTCGGTGACACATACTTGATATCCGGCGACCCCACAGTGTTCGAGCTCGGGCCGAATGAAATATTTCCACCTGGAGTGTACGGGTCCTCGAAGTCCAGCTCCTTTTGTAGTTTGTAAGCAGCGAGGATGTCCGGCTGAGCGGGGCTCGGGAAGGTGGCCCCGGAGCTTGTTTGTTGGTAGCCAGGCGCACCGGGCACACCGGTGTGACAGTGTCTGTAGTCCGGTTTCGGAGGCGCCGGAGGGGGTGCTTTGGTAGTTTTGAATCCTAGGTGCTCCTTGAACCACTTGGCCATGCTGCCAGTGCATCGCTCTCAAGTCAATGAATGTAGTTTACTTCCACCTTTCCTGCCAGCGCGAGCCCGTGTCTGGTCGTCAAAGTGGGATCCCCCGCGGGTCACTCGCGCCCAGCAGACCGGTGTCGGAGCGCGTGTCCGCCAGTTCTCGGGCGCTCCTGTCGGTCCGCAGAGGAGCGGTGGGGGGGCGGGGGTGGTTGGGGGAGAGAGAGAGAGAAGAGAGAAAGAAGAGAGAGAGAGAGGGGGGGGGAGAGAGAGAGCAGCCACAGGCACTTTCTGATCTGCCCTGCCGCAACTCTGTCACTCACTGCTCGGCTGCTCTCCACGTCAGGTTTCCAGACTACGCAACATGGGAGCGCTTGTGCAAGAGGAACACACGCCCCCCCCCCACAACCTGCCCTCCTACCTGAGAACATTCACTGCCACCTACCGGACTTCTGAAACTCCACTGACTGTTGAGACTGTAAACGCCCGCCACCGCTGCATTAATGTCTCCAGTTTAAAAAAAATAAAATAAAAACCTTACAAGCACCGAGCCCCTGGAGGATGAACGTCTTGTTTTAGGGAAACCCCGGATGAGGACTTTTGGTGTTATATGCAGATTAAGTAATACAGCCTATGGGCTGCTATGTGAGGTGTTAATTCATGGATAAAATAAAAGTTTAGTTCTAACATAAACTAAACGTCTTTTTTTGTTTCTGAGACTAATAGCTGGTGACTATAACTCTGTGAACCAGTACCACAAGATCATTTAAATAGGTCCTTGTGGTTTATGTTGCAAAAGTTTTGTACTATGTGTATTTCTAATTCCTCTCCAAAGTAAACTCTACATTATATTTCCAGAATTTTAGACTTTGAAAGTAATACAACTGTATTAGGTCAACATTTTTTGTCCAACTATAGGACTCAAGGGTAAAGCGTCCTTTGCTCACACTCAGTGCTCTCATGTCCAGATGGCCGCTGCAGACTGTTTTAATTGCAAACTGCATTGCAAATGACCAGTGGAGAGGGATGCTGGAGTCTATATTAACACGGGGCAGTGTTCTACCAAAGTTCATTACACCAGTCCATGAGTGGAGTAGGTGAATTGTTCAAAGCAACAATACCGGGAAACATTTCTCTCCTAGGTGTCTTTCAATCTCTTTGGTGAGGGTCATGGGTTCACGTGCTAAACACTAATTGCCTTTGCAATCAGAGGGCAGATGGGGGGGAAAAAAACTCCCATTTCCCCTCCCAGAGACATACTCCAGCAACAGTCTGCATTAACAGGAGTCATTGCTGCAGTGCAGTGTGTTTTTTATGAAGCAATATTTCTTTTTAATAACACCACACACACAGCCTTGAGCAAGTCACAGTGTACAGATCAGAGTTTAACCCTGGCAGGCCCCTGGGAGAGACAACTCCATGCTCCAGAGATCAAAACAAAATCTATTATTTCTGTCCTGAAATCCTGCCGTCGTTGCACTTTGGGCAGGCAGAGAGAAATTTGACCAGTGCAATTTCCCTGCACTTTATAGGAATAATTTCACCCCACAGCCAGTACATTAATCTGTTTAACTAGTGCATTATACATAAAAGCTTTAAAAGAAAAAAACAAAACAAGCAAAATGGGCTCAGATGGTTCTTAGTTTATTGCAGCACTGGTTGTTTTTGCTGCGAGTTCTGGGAAAAACAATTTCTGAGAACAAAAAGAAAAAGACCTGTTCCAGCTCACATATTACATGGCATATTTTAATATACATACTGTTGCACCCTCAGTGCTGCATTTACACATACACAGGAAGTGATATAAATATTGCCAGTGCTGCAGGGTAATAGCCTGTCTCATGGTGTAGGTATAGGGGATCTGTGGTGGGCAGGAGCAGGTGTGTCATTTAGGTTACTGAGCTTGACTCACATCACAGATCTTTTATTGCATTGCTACAATTGCATTCCTCCAGCTGCCATCACTGACACCCTTTAAAATGCAAATCCTGTAATCCAGCACCTCATAGGATACAAATAGTCTCTTAAATAGCCTACGCAGGCAGATTGCTTGCCAGGAGGAATTTATGTAGATATGTATAGGATTCTCTTTAAGTTATCATACGTAAAATGATATGAGAGGTGCTGGTAGTGTATTAGCACACATTGTCAATACATCTAACCAGATAAAAGAAAACTGAAAAACATTTAGTAATGACAGGTAGTGAGTGCTGGCTTGGTACAGGACTTTTCCACTCTGGAAAGTCATCAGTTATTGCAACAGTCCTTTGACACTATGAAGCTGATTGGTCTGTAAATATTGGCCACATGCAACCTGCTCTCCCTCAAAGCTGCACTTCTTAAAAGACTAACAACAATTAGTCGGTTGCAGATTCTGAGCAAACTTTCTTTCCATATATGTGTCAGTCATAGGGGACGTTGGCACTGATAGGAAAGCATGAAATTTACAGACAAGATGATGGCTCAGATTTGCTATAAGCAAATGTAAATAACAGTATGCAGCTGCCGCACAGCTCAAACATGTTGTGCAAGACATGTCACAAGTTTATTTTCCTCCTTTAGTCTGTTCGCTCTGGGGTTTCTCAGGCTCTCCTGGAAATGATTTACCAGCAAGACCAGGTAGTGCCATGG